TCTTGAGCTTCTGCCAAGCTCTAGGTCCTGTTCTAAGTACTTGAGTGGCATGAACAAAACAGAGGTCCAGCCTCACGGCACTGCCATTTGAGCAAGGAGAGGTGAGAGATGATGGAAGAAGTCGGTAGACTTTATTAGCTTGCAGCTGTCGGGCTGACTGGAGTCACAGAGGAGAGCTGCCGCCAGGGCTCCCCTGGCTGTGACTCTGTACAGGAGCAGACTGCCACATCTTTCTCCTGCCGCGGGACTGGTGGCCTCTGACCTTTTGCTCAGCAGCTGAGCACTTGAACCATGGTAGCATCAGGGCTCTGTTAAATACTCAAAACTCACTGCCGGTGGATTGATTCTGATTGACTCAGTGGTACTGCAGGGCAGGGTCCAACTGTCCCTTTGGGTTTCGGAAGCTGTGCGGGGGCAGGGAGCTTCGCCTTTCTTTCTCCCAAGGAGCCGCTGGGGGGTGGAACTTTGGCCAGTGCGCAAGACGCCCACCACCAGGGCCCCCTCACTAGGAGGTGAGAACTGCTGTGAAAAAGGAGTCTACACAATCAAGAGGATTGTTTGGGGGCACTAGTTAGCATTTCGAATAGAGAGCTCAGGGCAGGCCTTACCTGTTGAGCACCGATTGGGGGGACCTGGGTAGCTAAGCAGTTTCTAGAGCAGGAAAGCCAGGTGTCTGCAGTCTCCTTGGGAGGCGCTGCTGAGTTGAGAAAAACGCCCCTTCCTGGCAGCTCCACAGTATGTCCACATACAACAGTATGTGCAGAGGGTCTTTGTGATGGCGCTAGTCTGAGCCCAGGAGGCCTGGCGGTGGACTGCGATCCACACGGTGGACAGTTCAAACCACCAGCAGCTCCAAGGGAGAAAGGCTGGGCTCTCTACTCCCATGGTCACGTTCTCAGAAACCCCAGGGGCTCGCTTTGGGTCAGCTGTGACTCGACGGCAGCGAGTTGGGCTTTGGGCGTTTCGGGGTCCGAGCCCAGTTTTGCGATTCCTTCTCGCAGACACAGCAAAGTCGCCTTTTTTCCTAGACCCTTGAAAGCTCTCGCTGGAGGCAGTGGCGGCAACTTCTCCCTGCTTCCCACAGAGCAGGGCCTCGGGCGGGGCCTGCTGCACGCGTCCCACCTGCCTCCAACGCAGCCTTCTTCTTTCCAGACCAGCCTTCTCGAAGCTGGAGGACTCCTTCGAGGCCCTGTCCCTGTTCCTGGGGGAGCTGGGCATCCCGCTGCCCGCCGAGCTGGAGGAGCTGGACCACTCGGTGAGCATGCAGTACGGCCTGACCCGGGACTCACCGCCCTAGCCCCGGCCCAGCCCTGCCCTTCCGCGCCCCCACCCGTGACTTCCTGTCTGCTGGTGGCTTGTCAGGAAGCAGCACAAGCCGTTCGCACTACCTCCCCGGGGGGCGAGGGGCCACAGCACGAGGAACAGGCGTCCCCACAGGTTCCGGCACCTGGTGACCTACCATCTCTACACCCAACACTTGCCTGAAAGCTGGGAAGCCAAAGCCTGGCCAGGAGGATAGTGACCTGGGAGACTCCCCCTGCGGAGACTTCCATCGCCCTTGCCTACACTAATCAGCATGATGTGGGCCTGCTGGGCAGGATCGGGGGGGCCAAAGAGACGGCAGCAGCCGGGCAGCTAACCCGCCTTCCCTGGGATAGGAGGACTTGGACTCAGAGAAGAGTCCCTTAGTTGGTTTGTGCTGGCCCTGGCCCCAAGCTGGGATGAACTGGTGTCTGTCCACCTCCCAAGGGGACACTCTGGCCCGCCCAGGAACCGCATCCCCAGCAGGGCGGCTTCCCCTCATGCTCTCAAACGGCAGTACTGGAGAGTGACTGGGGCCCTCTGGGCAAAGGTCCTTTCTGCCTGCAACAAGCAGTCACTCAGAGATGCAGCAAGCCTGCGAACTGCAGAAACGGCGCCCCTGCCCTCTGGAAAGCACACGCGCTGGATGGGCTGCTCAGCCAGCGCCCAGAGGGCTCCTCCCGGGCTTCCTGCCACTTGACCCCAGCGTGGCGGGCCCTGGAGGACAGAGGAGCTGGTCAGAGGCCCAGGCTCTCGGGCAAGGATGCGAAGCCGGAGGAGACAACCTCTTGACCTTCTGTAGCTGCCACCCGCCCTCCCCATCTCCATCCCTGGCCCAGGCGCATGGGGGCAGGAAGAGCTGAGGCATTCACCGAGGGACCCCGTGGGCCAGGCGGCTTCTACCTCCTTCGTTGCCCAGCCCAGCTCAGTGTGTCCTGGTCACAGCCTCCTGAGCCACAGCCTTGGACACCAGACAGCCCTTGGGGCCCCCACCACCTTGGAGTCTGGAGTCCTGGGGCTCTTGGGCACAACTGGATTTGCCTCCCAAGTGTCTGCAAGCTTGCACCGTGTTGAACTCATTGGGGGTGGGGCTGGGTGTCACTGCAATGGGGTGGGTGGTGTATCTTAGGGGTGATCCAGGAGTGTAGTTGTTGCTAAGAGCTGTTTACGGGGTTCTGTCTCTTGGGTGGTATGTGAATTGTACATAGACCCGATGAGCTGCGGGTTTGCACGGCATCGCTAGCAGTGATGTCTACTGTACAGATGTGTGGAGTTGTGAGCCCCAACGCCCAATAGCAGCCAGGTTTAGCATTGTGTGGCTGGCTGCCCCAGCTGGTCCCAGCAACTGTGAGAGTGGTGGGCTGAGCTAAATGTATTAGCAGATATAATAAATTAAGCAGGTAATAAAACCGAGATGGCAAAGTGACTTTCCCAAGCAGCTACTTGGGTGTGCTGGCCTGTGTCTGCCCCAGGAACGTGGGCCAACGGTGTTTCCCAAAGTGGGCTTGCCCCCTGGGGGCACGTCAATGACCCAAGAAGGGTGTGCTGTAGTAAAAGTGTTTCACTGCCACAAGGGCACTAGGTAAAAATTTTTTTCCCTGAAAAGGGGGAAGTTGACAAATAAGTTTGGGAACCCATATTCTAGAACACTGCTGGCCACCTTCCCCCCAGACTACAAAGTTCCCCAGTGCAGAGGGTTCTGTGTCCACCCCCCACACATACACCCAAGTCCCATCCCCTCGCCTTGGCTGCACACACCTCCCACCCGAGGCAGCCCCCTCGCAGGAGGTGGCCTGTCTGACCCACACCGTTCCAGAGCCTGCCTCCAGCGTGCCCACTGTGTGAGGCCTTGGGCCCTGCTGTTCCCCAGCCCCCAGTGTGCAGACTGCTCCAGCCCAGCCGTCCTGGTGTCCTCTCTGCAGGGCTGGATGACACCTTCATGTCAGTGGCCATCGAGTTGATTCTGCCTTAGGGACCCCATGTACCTCCGAACAAAGAGAGCCATCTTCCCAGCTAGTGCCCGCTGTGCACCTTCCAGACAGTACTGAGTTGTGAGCCATAAGGTTCCTGTCGGCTACAGTTCTCGAAGTAGATCTCCAGATCTCCAGTGAGACGACAGGTGGGTGGGCACCGGGGCAGCTTCCCAGCGGGGAGATGGATTCATCCCTTGTGTTTGTGTGCAAGTCCTTTCGAGAAGACCCATTTCTGCGCTTCCACGGGGGATGCTCTGGACGTTCGGGCTAGATGGTGGGCTTCTAGTACAGTGTCAACCTGGCATGCCCAAAGGTGATTTTTCCCGGGCTCCAGGAATCCAGGGGGCCAGCGTGGTTCCTGGGGAGCTGAGGCTCAGCCCTTCTGAGCTCCCTGCTAAGCATTCGAGAAATACTCCTGGTGGGAGCTTTCTGTTGTGGTGCCCCCAGGAGTCACCCTGCAGCCTCTCGCGCAGCACACCCCTCTTCCTGTGGCTGTTACCCAACCACCACTCACTCCAGCCCCCGGCAGACCTGCTGGCACCCGTACTCACCGTTCACTGCCTCGGAAGAATGCTGGCGCTGCTGGGTTCCTGGTGAGAAGCCAGACAGAGCAAGGGGCTCTTTACCAACTGCCCACTCAACTGTGGGGGCCTCCAGCCTCCTGAGTCAGTAGGGGCTTGGGACCCACAGGCTCCCCCGACCCCCAGCAGAGCTGACAGGGTCACCCACAGCTCCTGGACTTCCAGGTCATGTTCTGATGCCCCACACGCACCTGACAACGACTCCCTTTTGTTTCTCATTTATGTAAGTCAAATGCAGAGCAGTTTCCTGCCCTCGGTATGCAGGTGTCAGAACGAGGTATATAAAACGTAGACAAGAGAAAGGCTTTTTTTTAGAAAAGTAGAAACCGGTAATGCCCTCTTCTCCAGCATCACTACCACCAAAGGACCACCCCAGGGCCCAGCCCTCCTCCCTCCCAACCTGACTGCAGGTAGCAGGGCTTTGGGAAGGGACTCTGCACAGGTGGGGTACTGCAGGGTGTGGGGCCCCAGCACCGTGCAGTGGGGGAATGCCCCAGGTCACAAGCTGGGTTCTTGGCCATGCCTGTAGCTTAGGCGCTGTACATCCCCTCTCTCGACCCTGTCTCCAAAAGGCTTGACGAGCCCTCAGGACCCTTCAATGGTTCTGTGATTGTTTTTGCAAGTTGGGGTTTGTGACCCCAGCCCCAACGAAGGCACTGGCCTGGCGGCCACAGGGTCCCCTGCAAATCCCACCTGGCCCGGAGGCTTCATTTCCAGATTAATCTTGCAGAAGCAACTCATGGGGCTGTACCAAGCGGCTCCCACGGCAGAGGTGGCTGCTCTCACCCCTGCGAAGCGAAGCAAGATCCCTGGCCACTCCGAGCGAAGAGACTCTGTCTAAGGCTGTCTGCCCCTGCAGCCTAGCGTCAGGGCTGGCTCCTCCACCACCCTCTTCCGAAGTGGAATGTTCAGTGCAGCTCTTTCCTTTCCAAACAGGAAGTCAGTGCCCGGGCCTCGCCCGGGCCCCTGGCTGACAAGGCACATCACCACCAGCAGGCGGGGCACACTCCCAGTTCTGGCTTTTTTACAGGCTCCTCTCAGGGTCTCAGAGCTCAGTAGGGAGTTCCCACCCCAGAGTTTTCTAAAAACTAAATACTTTTTTTTTTTACAAAAATAACCTCTCCGTCTGCTTGACCTGAACTACAAAGCGTGGTGTATGCCACCCAAGCCCACACAGAACACATGGGAAGGGAACTGAGGCCAGCTCAGGTAATCACCAGCAGGGAAGGGCGGGGGCTCCCCATCCATCCCTGGTTCAATTTCGGAATGCAGGCAATGATTGGAAGCCCTTGTCAGCACCAGCCACGGGGCAAACCCCTGCTCCCAGCGAGGGAGGGAGAGGGGCATTTAGGTAGTCCTCCCCACAGTCCTCAGGTCATCCCTTCTGCCTGCTGCCTGCTCACACTGACAAGAAAGTGGAGGGAGGGTCTAATCACAACAGAAAGTGTCAACGCCCCAGCTCTGGGAGGGTGGACGGTCTTACAACGTGGGGGCTCAGGCGCCAGGAGTGCCCGCCTGGTCCATGAGAGGGGCGCTGCCCTCCTGAAAGTCCAGCGGAGTCTGGCTGGGGTGGCCCGCCACGGTTTTCTCATCCACGATCTCGCAGGTGGGGTTGGCGAAGGCAGACAAGGGCAGCGTGACCCGCTGCATCTCCCTCTCACACGCTTTCTGCTCCCGCTGCGCCCTCAGGTCCTTCCCCCTGTCAAGAAAGGGAGCCGGTCAGGCTGTGTGCCCACTAGATAGTGTCCCTGAGCCCAGGCAGGCAGGGCTAACCATGGTCACCACCAGTCAGGAGGACAATCCAGGCGGACTAGGCTTCCACCCTGCCAGGCTGCACACCCAGCCCACCCGCTCCCAGCACCCCTGGCCTCTGCTTCCTCTTCTGTGAAGCGGGCCTGCGGCAGTGACAGCCCTAGTGCTACTCAGCCAAGTTAATGTGGAGGAAAGACGTTTTTAAAGGAATTGGTTCAGCTCAGGCTTCAAGTGGCCAGACAACTGGCCTGGCTTCAGCCCTGACCCACAAAGTTCCCCAGAAAACTGACTCAACTCTCTGTTCTAAAGATGAGAGCCAGGCTGGAAATGGGGACCCTTCCCCACACCCCTTAATGAATGTAAAGATGCGATGCGAAGGGCTGCTTAGGGCTGCGGGAAATAGTGGGACAAGGGCCATCCTGTGAGACCTGAGCGTTTCCACACACGGTGTTCGCAGGTTCAGGTCCAGCCAGGCCATAGTGTGGCCTCACTCTCCTATGGCATCCTCGCCTCCTGGGTCATATCACACTTTATTTTCTTTATAAGGAATATTTTACATGTATTATTCCATTCTCAGCTCGATCATAAATATTAGGTGTCCTTATTTCATAAACAAGTGGCCCAAAGAGGTTGAGAAACTCTTTAGGGCCTACGGGGCTTAAAGCCAAGTGTGACCCCAGAGAAGTACTGACTGTATGACCACACACACACACACACACACACACATGCTCGTGAGAGCGCACACATGACTGGTGGGGCAGGGTCACCTGGCCCTGCTGCTTGGCCTCTCCCAGTGCAGATGGAGGGCTTGGGGCGTCCCTGGCACAGCACACCAGACCCAGGTCCAGGTCCGCACCCCCTACAACCAGCAGGGGGCAGCCCTTAAGGACGTCCCAGGTGGGACAAAGGAGGCCGCAGCAGGGAGCACGCACAGGGCCTCAGAATGGACTTGAACCCATCTGTTCTAGAACCTGCTCAGTAACCCTTTCAACCTTCCTAATGCCACGACCCTTTAATACAGTTCCTCGCGTTGTGGTGACCTCCCCAAACCATAGAATTTTCATTGCTACTTCATAACTGTAATTTTGCTACTGTTATGAATCAGGCGACCCCTGTGAAAAAGTCGTTCGACAACGCCCCTCCCCCCAAAAGGGGTCGTGACCCACAGGTTGAAAACCGCTGCCTTGCCCTCCTTCCTTATCAATGAGACTGGGTAAGATGATGTAACTGCTATAAGATCATACAGGTGATGAGGACTTGGTCATGACTCACTAAAGCCAGGTTATCGTCATTGGCTTCCCAACGCGACACTCCCACCAACCAGCCAGGACAAGGATTGTTTGTGACCAACAACCTTCCTGTCCCCCTCTGAACAACATGGAGTTGGGCTTGGTCATCTCTAGAGGTGTTGTCCTGAGACTGTGCAGTCCCAGGAGCTGACCTCATCCCCCAGGTTGGCTGAGGGAGACTCAGCATCAGGATGTGTCAGCCTGGCCCAGCCTCTCCCCTCCTTCACACGGGTCATTAGTTAGCTTCTGTGCTGCATACCACCAACTCCCAGCCGGCGAAGAGGTGGGGGGACAGACAGGCTCTGTCCACGTGGAGAGACCCTTTGCAGCCCCCTCACAGCCGGAGATCAGGTACAGCTGCCGCCACACAGAAGCAAGGACCTGCCTCTAAAATCAAACAAGCCAGAACCTTCCAGGCTGCCCATGTAGGGAGCACTAGGAGGGGCCCAGTGTAATTTGACTAATGGCCTCCCCAAGCCACTGAGAGACCACAAGTCAGTGCAGACACACACACACACACACACAGTGGGGCAGGTGATCAGCTTGTTGCTTTGCCAAAACCTGAAGCTCAAAATCTAAGGGGGTGGGGGGACAAAGGGGGGGTACCTATGGATGCTGGGAAATGCCCTTGCCTAGTGTGGGAGAGAGAATGCCACACCCACGGCTGGATGCAACACTTTGTATGCACACCATCTCCTTTAAGTTCCACGGCAGCTTCACCAGATAGCGTCCCCACTGCATTTCTCAGCGACACCCCTCCGCAAACACCTGGCTGTGGCAGGAAAGCGGGGTGCTGAAGCTTTAGTCTGTAGTCAAGAGGCGGAGGCAGGCTGGGGCCAGTCGGATGACAGTCTCATCCACCTGCAGGCCACCCAGCCCCGAGTTCCTGCAGGTAATGGTGCTGAGGACAAAGCAGCTGCCCAGCTCCCTCAGGAGACAGGAGAGGCCACCGTGGGCCACCCGCTGCCACTGACCACCAGGCGGCCTGGCTCCTCTCTCTGCCCCTAGGGGCAGTCGGGCTGTTGTCTGGCAGTCAAGAGAGAACAAAAGGCTTATTCACGCCGGCCCGCAGCTCCTCTCCTAAGTGGGTGGGGTGGGGTGGGGGCGCCTTACACTTGTTTCAGGGCCTTTTTCTCCGGGAGCAGTGCAGACACTCCTGGGGCAGGGACTGGTTGCCGCTCAGTCCCGGGCTGGCCTTGGGGACCCAGTAGCCAGGACAACCAGGACAGAGGCGTGGCCCCACACCCACTGAGCCCCTCCCTCCAGCCCTGACCTGCCACTCTCCTTCCCCAGGGAGGAAGCCTGGTGCCTGCTCATCCTTCCTGACCACGAGAAAACGAGAAAGCTCTAGCCATTCGCCGCCGCCTGTGGTCTTCAGCAGCGTGGGCTGCTTGCTGTAATTCTACCCCTGACCACGGCTCCCAGGCCCGGACCAGGAGCCAGGCTGGCCACAGGGAGCAGGCGCAGAGGCAGACTTCCTCCTTCCAGGGCGGATGGAGGCACCGCAGGCAGACCTCCTTCAGGCATTATTACATAACTGTAACCAGGAACCACTGCCAGCTTCCCAGGCAGAAGCAGCACTGGGCCACGCTCTGGGCAGGGAAAACCCACAAAAGCAGCTGTGGACTGTAAGCGCCAACTGACTAATTTCATGCGCACAGCAAGCCTCGGTGATATCGATCGTGAGCTTTCTTGGGAGAGGAGGAGGAGCAGAGATGAAATCATCCGCTCAAGGGCAAGGCCAGGCTGGGACTTGAACCCAGCACTGCCCCTGCACCAGCAGACAGGGCTGGAAGGATCATGAGATCAACAAGCCCCCACCTTGTTTCAGGGGTAAGAAACCTGAGGTCCAGAGACGGAAGACAACTTGTCCGGCATCACGTCCAGAACTGAGGCCAGTTGAAGACCCAGCTCCTGGTCTTTGGATCTCTAAAGGCCCTAGCTGCTTGCTTGTTTCCATTTTGCCTACTTTGTGATTCAAAGCAAATGTACACTTGCAGAAGCTTTGGGTAATTCTTCCACCTCACTGACTGACTGTGTGCGAGGGGTGGGGGGGTCTCTGCTGCCTTCTAGAGGGGGGTGAGGCTTGGGCCAGGTCAGTGGGAGCAGCACTGACTAGGGCCCCGTGGTGAGGGAAGCACACAGTGAAGGTTAGCTGTCCTACAGTTCACAGTTAATCTTCAGGCTGACCTTGGGCAGGTGGGTGCAGGGTGGGCATGGCTATAGGGGGGAGAGGCAGACCAGTCTTTAACAGAGAAACCGATGTGCAGAGAAGTCATAAACATGGGCTGTGCTTCCGGACAGCGCGCTCCAGGACATGGTTTTGTGGTTCTGGTGAGAGTGAAAATCGAACTTGCACGTGACAGCTGAGAGCTTGTCTCCAGCCCCATGCCATTTCCTGTTGAACACTGTGTTCTGAGTGCTGCTGCTGCTGAAGGCAGCGGGGAGTGGCCTGGTGGTTAGTGAGTTAGGGAGTCAGGTGACTGGGACCTTGCCCAGAGTTTACAGGGAGGCAACCTCTAAGACGCAAGGTAGTCCCGTGACTGTCTAGAAGACCAAATCGAGAAAGAAGAAGGTCTTGCTTCCTCACCGGGCACCAGAATTAAGCTCGGAATTAGGAGCAGCCCCGTCAGTTCCCAAGCACCTGGAGGCCCGGCAGCTGTCACAAAACTGGAGGCGAGCCAGCGGCTGTCCAGTGGCCGAGGAGGGGGGAACTATGTGAAAGGTTAACTATGCCACATGGCTTGGGTGTGACTGAACTAACTGTAAGGCCAGGGCCACCTATCATTTCTCTCAAGTCTCAAAAGCAGTAAAGAAAGTGGACCTAAAGAAGAAAGACAGTGAACCTGCCGTGTCAACTGTGCCACTGTGGGCTGGGCGTGAGGAGAGGGCCTTACACGGGACGCCAGCTTCCAGAATCAGAGAAAGTCACAGAAGGTATGGGGCTCAGTGAGCAATCATCCAGCCTCTTCTGTGCTAAGCCAGGGTAGGCCTCTGCCCCACACCCGCACTCAGGAGAAGGAAAGAGCATCAGCTCTCCCAATGCCACACACACCACCACCACCGCCGCCATCAAGTTGATGGTGAATCGGTGGCCCCTGTGTAGAGCTTTCCAAAGCTGTAGACCTTTACCAGAGCAGAGAGCCTCATCTGTCTCCCCCAGAGCGGCTGGTAGGCTTCACGCCAGACAGCGGCTACTTGAGGCAGGATTAAGAAATGAGCTCCCAACCCAGGGCGGATGAGCCCTACAGGACCAGTGGTGTGAGTGGCGAAACAGGGAGGGTAGAGGGAGAGTGGGTTGTAAAGAGGGAACTGATTACAAGGACCTATATGTGACTTCCTCCCTGGGGCACGGACAACAGAAAAGTGGGTGAAGGGAGACGTCGGATAGGGCAAGATAGGACAAAATAACAATTTATAAATTATCAAGGGCTCGTGAGGGAGGGGGGAGCGGGGAGGGAGGGGAAAAATGAGGACCTAATGCCGGGGGCTTAAGTGAAGAGGAAATGTTTTGA